TTGCATAATGACTTCCTATCTTTTACTAGAAGAAGTACATCAGCAGCCTTAGTCATTTAAGCAGCACATATAAAATTCTGCAATTGATGAATTTGGACCACACATCTCTACATGGCTATTGAAGTTTCAGCCTTTGAGAATCCCATTTTTGTCAAGTATAACAGTTTATTCTCCTCATCAGAATCAGAATTCAAAGATTTCTCGGTATTAAAAGAACTATCGATATCTGTGAAATCATCTTGAAAGGTCACTTCATATTCAGATGAGTTGTTATCAGAATCAACATGTTGCCTGAATGCAAGCTTTTCAAGAGTTTATACTATTGAGTTTTATTCTCAAGAGGTTCTGTGACATTATATCTACATCTATATTTGTCAAAGATGATAGATTCTTTGATTCGAAGAAGACAGATATATTGGGTTTTTTACAATTGAAGAAATACTCAATTCACCAGTCTGAAATCAAACAACTTAATATTCATGCATCATATTTAGGCATTTGCAAAAATAGATGCATTTTCATTCATTTTTATTCTTGTTAAATTTCTAACAGGAATTTCAAAGATTTTAGCAAAGATTCAAATCTATCAATTGATGGATTATCTTTTCCAGAAAAGTTCATAATGAGAAGAACTCATCTGAAGAAGGAAGAAGAAGTTCATAATGAGAAGAATTTGTTCAACCTTTTGTTTGAATTCATCACTTGATGGATTATTTTTTCCAGAGAAGGTTCATAATGAGAAGAACTCATCTGAAGAAGGAAGAAGAAGTTCATAATAAGAAGAATTTGTTCAACCTTTAATCTGAATTCATCACTGGATGGATTATTTTTTCCAGAGAAAGTTCATAATGAGAAGAACTCATCTGAAGAAGGAAGAAGAAGTTCATAATGAGAAGAATTTGTTCAACCTTTTACCTGAATTCATCAATTGATGGATTATCTTTTCCAGAGAAGTTCATAATGAGAAGAACTCATCTGAAGAAGAAAGAAGAAAGTTCATAATGAGAAGAACTCATCAAGAGCTTATTCAACCTTTTGAATGACTCTATCACAGAAAGGAGGTCATCATCATCCCCAGCAGAAAGTTCATAATAAGAAGAACTTATTTGGAGAGAGAGAAGAATTTATTCACTATCTCCATTATGATCAAAGTAAAGTCAAATGGATAAAAAAATTTATTATCTTTTCATCTTTGCCCTATTCTTGTTAACACAAGAATGAGCAAAGAGGGGCAGCTGAAGATACTAATTTTTTTATCCATATTATTATTATTAATATTATTATTATTATTATTATTATTACTATTATTATTATTATTATTATTATTATTATTACTATTATTATTATTATTATTATTATTATTATTATCATTATCATTATTATTATTATTAAATATATATTAAACATATATAAAAAATAATAATTACAGGCCCAATTACAACTGGACCGGCCCAGTCACAAACCAACCAGAACCGGTCCAAAACCAACCAGAAACCCTAAATATTTGGGTTTCCAGTTAGGGTTTCCTAACCCTAATTTACCCAGCCGCCTCAGCTCACAGCCGTTGGATCTGGCAAGATCCAACGGACCAGATTGTCCCAGATGGAAACCCTAGGGTCTGATACCCTAGGGACACGCGGCCGCCGTTGCTATCTCGCCACCTCCGCCGCTGCCACGTCCCAACCGAAGACTCCAGAAGACAGATTACCAGCCGTCCACGCCATGGCTACTCGGTGAGTCACCACTGGTAGTCCGGTGACTCACCGAGGCCCCCTCTTCGGACCGGTCTGAGACGAACACCGGTGGTGGCTATAAAAGCCACCACCCATCTGCGAAAAAAAGGGAGACAGAAGCCAGGGACAGAGACAGAACCAAAAAGAAAAAAAAAGAAGGAAAATAGAGAGAGATATAAAACTACCAACGATCCCAACAGAGCAAAAACAAAAAAACAGAAGGAAAAAGAGAAGAGAGAAGCTTACCAAGGAAGCCTTGACCGTCGCCGGAAACACTGAACATCGCCGGAGAACCGAAAATACCGAAGGTATATTTATAGATCTGCTCCGATTGGGAGCCATTTAAGGAAAAAGAACATCGGAACCGTCCTTAGGACGGTCCGATCTATCCAATAGGATAAAAATAAATTTTTCGGCCACCGGATACGGTGGCCGGCGGGGACACTCGCGGCGGCAGACGGCTGCCGGATTCCCTCCGGGGAGGGAATCTAGAGAGAGGCCAGAGAGAATTCTCTCTCTCTCTCTGCTTATTAAAAAAAAAAGAAATGAAATGGTTGGCCCTTCGGGCCAGCCGGTTTGGACTCTTATAGTCCTTCCCGAACGACGTCGTTTCGGGAAGGACTATGCGCGTAATTATGAAATAGTTAAACCCCGTCCGCAGTCCTTCGTATTTGTAAATTTTACATTTTGGTCACTAAACTGAATTTATAATAATTTTAATTCAGTCTTTAAATTTTAATTTTATTCATTTTAGTCCTTTTTATTAAAATAATATATTTAGGATAAATGACAGATTTAATCCCTTAATTTTAATAAATAATTTTTTAATCCCTAGTTCATATTTTTAATTTATTTTATTATAAAATTCAAATTTTAAATAATTTTATTTTGGTCACTAAATTATTAAATTAGAAAATAAAATATTTAATCCCTATAATTTCAATTAATTAGGAATTAGATTTAGTTTTATTTTTATTATAATTTAGTTATTTATTTTATATGTTTTCATTTTACTGCTTAAAATATATTGTTTTAGTGATATTTTTATTTTTTATTGTTAAATATTTTTATATATTCATAAATATACATATAATAAATAGTAATTTTTAAATATTTATTTTAATATCGAAGAAAAGGATAGTCTTAATACAACTGGATGTCCTATTCTGATATTTTAAAATTAAAAAGTAAACAATATTATTTAAATTAATATTTATCAATATCAAAGAAAAGAGCTGTCTTAAGGCACCTAGAAGTTCTTTTCAGATATTTTTAAATAAATAAATTTTTTTATATAATTTTGAAATAATAGAATTATAAATTAAATATATTTTTGTATTTTTAAATTTTTAATAATAGAGACAATTTATAATTAAAAAGTACCAATTTTGGGCGTTGTAGGGGTGCTAATCCTTCCCTAAACGTAACCGACCACGAATCCCTTTTTATTATTAAAAAGAACGAATTTTTGGTTAAAACGCAGATCAGTTTATCTTTTAATTGATGTTTTCTTAAAAACTCTTTCAAAAGATATTTTTTAGGTATTCGACCTACCTGACCCAAAAGGCCGATGGCGACTCACAAATTATTTTCAAAATTATTTATCCACATCAATTTTCCCGCCAAGTAATATTTCGTGCCCGAACGAAAACCGGTTACGACACCCCTCTATATATTCTTTTCTTTCAATTAAATCCTTATTTTTATTGAATATATTTTTCTGATGATAAATTCAATCACCCTTGTTGCAGTCAATAGTGTTCGAAGTTGAGACTTCTAAAAATAAAAATCATTCATTTAACCAGATAAATTGATTCGAGTCTATTAATTTCAAATTTTAAATAGCACTAAATTATAAGAAAATTAATATTTAGTCCAAAGCCCACCAATCTCCCAACTACATTTACCTACTACCAATGATGATTCATATACTCATTACAAACGAAATAATCTATAATCTCCTAATTTCATAATTACAATTTCTTTTGTACCCTCCAAAACGTCTAAACCCTATTTATACTTTTATTTTTAAAATTCCAAAAGGATACCGTTTTTCTCATTGATCCACGTTTCATGGCCCAAAGCTCTCTTAACTTTTTTTTTCATTCCGATTTCAAACTTCGTCTCGACTAATTATTATCGACTTATGCCGTGCACACTTAATTTTAGTGGATGTTTATTTCAGCATGAATTTTTTGCATACACAAAAAATCGAACTCGAAATCTTACTTAACCGATATTAAATTGTTTATTATTTGAACGACCCTATTGATAAAAGCTATTTCACTCTAACTTTGTGGTGTTGATTTTTTGTATTAATTATTCCTATTGAATTTATTAATCGTTTAATTAAGATTCAATATTATAGATATCATTTTGTCAATTTAATTTACTTTATTTATAATATTAAAATACAAACTTTTAACATTATTTATGTGATCTAATATATCGTCTTATCAAACCACAATGGTTGAAATCTTTAAAAATCTTAGATTGTACTTCCGTATATTGCTGTTGCCGACTTTTTACTGTATTTTTTTTTGTAATTTTAACTTGGCAATTAAAAGTAAAATGCATGTCACCCGGTGATTTTTAAGTTATTCAAGTTGATGAATTTTATTTTACAACTTGAAGTTAACTTGAAAATTTTTTAAGTCGAGTCGAATTGAATTTTTAAATTTTTGTTTAAATTTAATTATAAATATTTATAATATTATTTTATTTCAATTTAAATAATTTTTTTTGATCATATACAATACATTACATTCATACATACATATATATATATATATATTAGTGTGTGGTTTTTGATAAATAAAATATAATACATATATATTTCTTTTATATGTGATACATAAATCATATAAAATTGAGATACTCGACTCAAATTTAAAAATCCATCTACTAATTATTAAAAATTTCGAGTTATTCGAGTTATATTTTATAACTCGATTTGAACATAAAATTTTTTCGAGTCAAATTTTGACGACCCAACAGAAATGCCTTCGCTTTTTCATAATATTTAGTTGGTGATTAGAACTCATTTTCTACGTTTTAAGTAAAGAACATCTTGATTCCAACGACGATGTCACCCTGTATTGATCGAACGGTGATTATTTTTTTTCTATCTTTATCTTGTTTTCTCTGTTCTCCCTGTATAAATTCACATATATTAATTTTAAGAAATGTTTAATATATACATATATTAATTTTAGTTCCAAAAACCAATCTAGCTATTGACCCAAAACTTCATCTGCAACCGTCTGTCAATGGCCAGAAGAGTTACTGAGCCATAGGTCCATCAAAAGCAAATAATCTTCCACTTATTGCCTCACTGACCAAAGTAGAAGCATTGTATAACAAATCTAAACACAAAGATTCGTTTGTATTTACTTGATATTCATTCGACATTTAGTTGAGCACTCGATGCCTCCATCAGCCCACTCCGAATCTGCTCACCGATATCCCTAACATGACCAGGTCCGTGGGGAATAAACACGGTAGTGTTCTTTGAGGAGTTGCCAAGGTCCTTGATTGTGTCAAAGTACTGTGTGATCATGATAAGATCCATCACTTCCTTGGCCGAGGTGCCTTGCACCTTGTGAGAGAAGTCTAATATGTTCTCCCTCAACCCATCTGTGATTGCCTGACGCTGCTTGGCCACACCAACTCCACTTAAGTACTTGGATTCGGCTTCGGCTTCCGCTCTTTTAACTTGGAGCACTTTCTCGGCTTCACCTTTGTACACACTTGCAAGCTGAAGTCTTTGAGCTGTAATGACAAAACCACCGCGAAGTTTAGTCTTTTTTCAGCTTCAGATGAATGGGTCATGGTCGTCGATTTACTTGGCAACATGTTCTAGTTTACATCATTTAAATGCTTCTCACAGAAACTGGAGTCTAGGAAGTAATTTGCAATGTTTAACAAAAAATGTATATGCTTGTATCTAAAATAAAAGGAAACAAAAGAACCAAAATTGTATACTTCACCTGCATTTATCTCATTCATTGCTGTGCGCACAGTAGGATCAGGTATAATGTCAACCATCAGTATGTGCTCAATGCTATATCCATAATCTCCCATCACCTGTTACATGGTTTCAGAATCTATAAATGCATGAAAAGCCTTGAACAGCAAGCACATAGACGGTTTAAAGGTTCAGGTGGAAACATAATTGCTCTGGTGCAATTAGATAGAAAGTAGTCGCAATTTTTTATCATGTAGCATCCAAATCTCATGTTTTACAAGACAAAATTCATGTTCCCCTTCCTCGGGAATTCATATTCTGGGAAATAGCAAGCCAAAAGAAAAGACCACTATATATTTTTCGACATAATTCAAATCGAAGGAAACAAGTCAACCACTCACATATTACTGGCTCTTTTCTCCCCAATTCAGCTGTTTCTAAATCAAAAAATGTCTTATACATATGTCTTATGCACATAATTTAACAATTCTTAAATAATTAGCTAAACGAGGGTGAATGGGAAAAAAAGGATGCACCATATTACCTTCCCAAGTTCCTCGAGAACAGCTTTAGCAACCTCACCCTTTTGTTCAAAGAGATCATCCAAATTCATTCTAGGAACTAGAGCTCGAACCACTACCCCAAGAAATGAAATGTCATAAATAAAACCAAAGGGAGGAGGAGAGGTGGGGAGGATAACTTATGGATGAATAGCACAATATAAGAATAGGCTGATAAGCAATAGGAAGAGCAAAGAAAATTACCATCAAACACATAAGCCCGAATCTGTTCCTCAGGATTTTGCAGTTCATAAAATGCATCATCAGCATGTGTCTTAAGCACTCTGTATTGAATCGAGCAAAGCAATTGCACAAAGACATTGTCCTACAAAATGTAACATTTTCATCGTCGTGCTCATTGATTCTTCTGATAAAGCAACAAAACTCAGGGATGAAGGGATGAACCCGTTAGGAATCAAAGGAAGCTTCGGTCCCAAAACTTTTCAAATTCCCTTTAGTATGTGTGTGTGTTTGTGTGTAAATATAATAGATTTAACTATTTTTCCAAACTATTCACGATTCATACGCTTCAAATAAAAAGGTTCGTTATAAATGTTAAATTATGTAAATTCACTCTTAAAAAGATGATTTCGAGCTCAAATATGTTCCTATAAAAGTCGAAGCCAGGGCTTAACTCAACCGGTTAATATAAACACTCTTAAAACGCCAGGTTCAAAAGATTTGGAGCTCGAATCACATTAACTACCTATTGTTATACCACCATCCTCCTACAGGCTACAGGCTACAGGAAGTAAATCCGTCAACGATATTGTGACATATCTCGTCAAAAAACATTAATCTGATCAAACACAAATTTATGATCAATCGAATTAAATTCTGCTAGCTAGGCATATTCGTATAGCGTAAAAGGAATCAAGCGTCGAATAGAATAACTGGTGGATAACTAATTTACCTTGGTTTTGGTTTCGATGCGGACATCGAGGGAGAAGATTCTGGTGGAAAGGATGCCGGCAAGATACTGACCGGCGCAAGGGTTAAATATGTGGAGGCCAGGCTCCGCCAACTTCTCGAAACGGCCAAAACGCTCCACCACGCCGATATTCGCCTGTTCGACGCATGCACAGAATATGCAAGACGTATTCCCCATCTTTTTTTCTCGATCGAAAAATTCTAAACAGATCCGGAAGACTGTCGTTTTATATGTAATTTTACTTTGGGGTTAAAGTACCATAAAAGTACCTATATTATACATGGAATTACCATTTTAGTCCCCTGCTTAGAAAAAATGGGCAAAGTGATCTCTATCCGTTACAAATCATTAATTCACGTAACACTATATTTCATGTAATAATTTAACGAAAAAATTCAAATAATTCATCCTTTTATTCAATTTCGTAACCTAGGATCAAAATGTTCATTTTTTAAATAGGGGAGTAAAATGAAATCCATTACATAGTAGATGGAGAACTTTAGATTTCTACCTTTCTTAATCAACGGCAGTTTGTTTTGTCTGTAGTATTTTTTTTTTAAGAAAGACAGACCTCAATTAAAATCTTTTCTACCAACATAAGCTTAAGCTTGGGTCCTATAAGAAAAAAAGAGAGTCCAAAATCCATTAATCAATCTGAAAACAAACCGTTCTTTACAACAGTTGGAATGAACTCGAAAAATTCAACCTCAAAGAAAAAACATTACAATCAAGGACTTGTTTAACTAATGTATGAGTAACCTTATTTGCTTCCTTACAAACATGTTACAAAACAACTATTAAAACCATTACAATTGTCACGTATAAGTTACACATGCACACCAATCGTAGAATTCGCACCACTCGCATTGTTATACAAATTGACTACTATGGTGGAATTCATCTCAATAATGATGTCTAACTATCCCTCCTCTAAAGCCATATTAACAATTGCAACAAGACTATGAAACTCGACTAAACCTGGCTCATAAATATCGCGTGACGTAGTAGTTAGGCCACCAAGAACAAAACCAGAGACAACACAGGCAACAACTCCCACGACTGCAATCTTAGTTATCGGATTGTAAGCACCATCATCATTTATCTTTATAGTCTGACCAGTTGGCGGCCTCCAATGATTCGAAGGATAAACCTATGACACATTAGAATAGAGTATCTGCATGGCTTTGAGAAAATCATAAAGCAGCGCCTTTGCATTGGCAGCAATGACCAAAACAGGCTGGAAACGATCATCATGCATCAAGGAATTCCTTCCATTCCATAATAGAATTAGAAAGCTTGCAAATTTATCAAGTCCAAGCGTAACAAGAACTGATTCCAACCATAATAAAGGAGAAATAGTAATGAATTAAGGAGCGTACTGTTGTGAAATTCGGGTTAATTTCCACCAATAATAACAAATTCACCTTGAAAACTATTATCTAGGTGACTAGTGTGAAAACGATTGTACTAAAAATCACACCAAGGTAGATTCCCAGGAAAGAGGAGGGGTCACAATGGTTCCTCTTAAAACCCACTTTCCTTATACAGAACTACCAAGACAAGCAATTTTAATAGGACAATAATTAACAACAACTATACCCGACAATAGCTATTAAATAGACATAAAGAGAACACCAAAATTTAACGAGGTTAGGCCAAAATTATGCCTACCTCCTCGAACACTACTAAAATAATATTTCACTAATAGAGGAAATATTACAAAGAGAAAGAAATAATACAAATAACCTTTAATATATAAGAAGACTTATATTTGTGGGATGCTTAACTAAGGAGAAGGATGTCTCTATTTATAACAAAAGAATTTCTCCTCCTCCTTATACACACCAATGTGGGACTTTGCCAAAAAACCAACAAATCTCCACATTGGCAAATTCCACGCACATCTCTCAAAAATTCAATCTTCAGAGTGTCTGCAACTTCATCTTTCAATTTGTAATAATATTGACCAAGTCTAAACAATGTTTAAACTTGATCGCAGTTACCACTTTTGTCAACATATCAGCAGGATTCTCAGTGGTCTGAATCTTCTGGATTATGACTCCACCTTCTTCTAGAATCTCTCGTACAAAGTGATATTGAACATCGATGTGCTTCGTCATTGCATGGTAAACCTGGTTCTTTGCTAAATGAATAACACTCTGACTGTCACAATGCACTTTGATGTGCTTCTGTTCCATTACCAATTCACCAAGCAACCCTTGAAGCCAAATTGCCTCCTTCACAACCTCTGTAACTGCCATATACTCTGCCTCTGTAGTAGACAAAGCCACTGTTGACTTTAAGGTGGACTTCCAACTGACTGGTGCCTTTGCAAATATAAACACATAACCAGTAGTTGATCGACGCTTGTCCAAATCACCTGCATAGTCTGAATCACAATACCCAACTACACACTGACCATCTTGTTTGTCCTGCTGAAAGACCAAACCAACATCTACGGTGTTCAGAATATACCGCATAATCCATTTCACAACTTGCCAATGCTCCTTTCCAGGATCATGTATATACCTGCTCACAACCCCAACTGCCTGTGAAATATCGGGTCTCGTACACACCATTGCATACATCAAGCTACCAACAACACTTGCATATGGAACCTTTGACATGTATTCCCGTTCTGCATCATCCTTAGGTGACATGGATGCACCGAGCTTGAAATGAGGAGTAAGAGGTGTACTAATTGGTTTTGACTTCTCATTCATGCCAAAACATTTTAGTACATTCTTCAGATATTCTTTCTGAGACAAACAAAACCTCCCCAATTTCTTATCCCTTGATATCTCCATACCTAGAATCTTCTTCGCTTCACCAAGATCCTTCATCTCAAACTCCTTGTTCAATTGAGTCTTTTGTTTCGCAATTTCTGTCTGACTCTTGGAAGATATCAGCATATCATCAACATAAAGAAAAGATATATATATGATCCATCTTATAGCTTGCGTAAATACACACAATGATCATATTTACTGTTTGTGTACTTCTGCCCTATCATAAACTTGTCAAATCGCTTGTACCACTACCTTGGAGATTGCTTCAATCCGTACAACGATTTTTCTAATTTGCACACCATCTCTTGTTTTTCAGCAACTTTGAATCCATCTGGCTGAGTCATGTAGATTTCCTCATCCAAGTCTCCATGTAAAAATGTAGTTTTTACATCCATCTGAAATAGTTCCAAATCCAACTGTACTACCAAAGCCAACAAAATTATGATGGAGGAATGTTTTACAACTGGAGAAAATACTTCATTATAATCAACTCCCTCCATTTGAGCGTAGCCTTTAGCCACCAATCTTGCTTTGTAGTGGATGTTATTATTGTCAGGAAATCCATCTTTCTTTGCATATACCCACTTGCACCCAATTGCCTTCTTTCCCTTCGGAAGACTAGCTAGTTTCCACGTCTGATTCTTTTGAAGAGATTGCATTTCTTCATTCATGGCGATCCTCCACTTTGTATATTTTGAACTTTGGACTGCTTCATTAAAAGTGGCAAGAACGTCATCAATTGCAATTGGTGATGCAAAAGATATCATATCAGCATAACGAGCAGGTTGTCTAATGGTCCTCTTTTCCTTTCTGAGTGCAATTGATTCATATTGCTATGGAGGTTCTTGGGTCTGAACCTCTTCTTCATTTGACTCTTCTTCATCTGAGTCTTCTTCTACCATAGGAGAGTCAACATCAGTTTCTTTACTGGCTGGGTCAATTCTGCTTCCTTCAAACTCCACCTGTTTGGGAGTTCCATATGTCTGCTCCAATTTTTCTGAAGTCACCTTTCTCAACATGGTAGATTCATCAAAGGTAACATCCCTGCTGAAGATTATTTTCTTTGTTTATGGACACCAAAGACGATAGCCTTTCACACCAGAGGTGATCCCCATAAAGATCAACTTCTTTGCTCTTGGATCCAGCTTTGACTCCTTAACACGGTAGTATGCAGTGGAACCAAACACATGTAAGGAATCATAACCTATAGCAAGTTCTCCAAACCATTTCTCTAATGTTGTTTTACCACCAATAACAGTCGATGGTAAGCGGTTGACAAGGTGACAAGCATAGACCAAAGCCTCAGCCCAAAATTATTTGCCTAACCAGTATTAGACAACATACACCGAACCTTCTCCACTAATGTCCGGTTCATACGCTCTGCCACCCCATTCTGTTGTGGTGTAGATCTGATAGTGAAATGCCTGACAATACCTTATTCTTCACAGACTTTAAGAAATGTATCATTTTTGTACTCTCCACTATTGTCTATACGAAGACGTTTGATTTTTCTGCCTGTTTGAGTCTCCACCATCTTTTTCCATTTAAGGAAAAATCCTAGCACATCATCCTTTGTCTTCATTGTATACACCCAATCTCTCCGGGAAAAATCATCAACAAATGTGACATAATAGTGTGTTCCTCCCAATGAAGTTGTCTTGGAAGGCCCCCATACATCTGAATGAACATAATCCAAAATACCTTTAGTATCATGGATTGATGTTCCAAATTTCACCCTCGTCTTCTTCCCTTTGATGTAATGCTCACAAAAATCTAATTTGTAAGCCCGAGCACCCTTCAATAATCCTTGATCTATCAACAATTTCAAGGATTTTTCACCAACATGCCCCAAGCGCATATGCCATAACCTGGTTGCTTCTGACTCTTGTTCATCAGTAGAAGCTGCCACTGCTGTTGTCCCAACAATTGTACTACCCATAAAGTAATACACATTGTTTCTTTTTCGGACTCCCTTCATTATCACCAGTGCACCAGAGATAATCCTCATAATCCCATCTTTTGCCCTCACTTCTAAACCTTTTGACTCTAAGGTTCCCACAGAGATGAGATTTCTCATTAAATCTGGTACATAATGGACACCTGTTAAGGTTCTGATTGATCCATCCTGATTCCTCAAGCGAATTGAACCAATCCCAAGTGTGTTAAGAGGGGAATTATTTATTGTGTAGACAATTCCACCTTTTAGTTCTTTAAAATCAAAGAACAATTCTCTATTGGGGGTCATATGGTGGCTACAAGCTGAATCTAACAGCCATGAACTGGAACAGTTGGTTGATGGCGTAGCAGCGAATGCGAAATCTAAATCTGTATCATCATACTCGACCACATTCGATTCTGAGACAGCCTTTCCCCTTTCATGTTTGCCTTTATTCTTTAGCCTGGGACATTCTTTCTTCCAGTGCCCTTTTTCTCGATAAAAGGTACATTCATCTTTGCTCAAACTGGACTTTGACTTCGATCTCCCTCTCCTTCCTTTATTTTGACTCTTCGAACGGCCTCTAACAATAAGAGCTTCTGCTTCGACACTTGTATTTTCTTGTTTGTCTTTCTTTCTCAATTCATAACTATACAAGGCAGCAATTACTTCACTGAGAGACACATCAACCTTCCCATGAAGTAGAGTAGTTTCAAGATACTCAAACTCATCAGGAAGTGATCCCATCAACATCAGAGCCAGATCTTCGTCTTCAAAAGTCACGTCCATATTCATCAGATCAGTCACCAGCTGATTAAAGCTAGTAATGTGATCATTCATAGTGGTACCTGGTACATAGTTGAAGTGAAACAATCTCTTTTTCATGTAGAGTTTGTTTTGACCGCTTTTCTTCAAAAATTTCTCCTCCAGTGCCTTCCACAATTTACTTGCAGAAGTTTCCTTAGAAAATGCATACTTCTGCTCTCTAGAAAGACACGATCGAATAGTACCACATGTCAATCTATTGATCCTCTTCCATTCTTTCTCCTCAACATCATCTGGTTTCTCTCCTTCAATAGCAATGTTTAGACCCTGCTGAAATATGGCATCTAGAATCTCACTTTGCCACATGCCGAAATGACCGGTGCCATAAAAAATCTCCATTGCAAATCTAACATTTGTCACAACATTTCTTGCGGATGTTTTTGTGTCGTCTGCCATTTCTGCTACAAATTCTATTTAATAGCTGTCAATACGGAATTTCAATTACCCCAAGGAAATTTTTTTCTGATGTGGAAGATCAGCCTAAGCCGCAACCACAGAGCATACTAAAATAAACCAAGAGCGTTGATACCAATTGTTGTGAAATTCGGGTTAATTTCCACCAATAATAACAAATTCATCTTGAAAACTATTATCTAGGTTACTAGTGTTAAAACGATTGTACTAAAAATCACACCAAGGTAGATTCTCAGGAAAGAGGAGGGGTCACAATGGTCCCTCTTAAAACTCACTTTCCTTAGACAGAACTACAAAGACAAGTAATTTTAATAGAACAATAATTAACAACAACTATACCCGACAATAGCTATTAAATAGACATAAAGAGAACACCAAAATTTAACGAGGTTAGGCCAAAATTATGTCTACCTCCTCGAACACTACTAAAATAATATTTCACTAATAGAGGAAATATTACAAAGAGAAAGAAAGAATACAAATAGCCTTTAATATAGAAGAATGCTTATATTTGTGGGATACTTAACTAAGGAGGAGGATGACTCTATTTATAACAAAAGAATTTCCCCTCCTCCTTATACACAACCAATGTGGGTTCATTCGCAAAGTAGGGTGTATATTTTTATGTTAAAAGGTAAAGTACATAAATGTTCCTCTGACTATAGAGTGTTACTTTGTTGAGTCATTAGACTATTAAAAGTTATAAAATAATATTTCGACTATAGTGCATTTTGTTTAGTGTTCCGACTATTAAAACATAAAAAATATTCATATGTTATGATCTTTTCCATTAAAATTGATGAACATCTACTAATAGGGATATGATAAACTGAAAATCTGCCATTGTCATAAAATTTTCCGAAGAACAGATGTCGAATTCGTGTGAAAAAACTGAAATTCGCCTTAACATTCGGTAGTACAGTACAATAATGCACAAAAATCCACAGGACATGGTCCTCTGCAAGAGGATACAATTAAAGCATGCCCCATTCACCCAGGTGAGTAGTTGGGTGACAAAAAAAAAGTTTTGGCAACAAGAAGCCTTGAAGCCATCGCAAAAAACAATACTATTAAACATTGTAATTATCGTTAAAAAGTTCTAATCTTATATCCTTTCAGTGGTTCTATCAATGTTATAAAGAGAAATAAGGAACAACACGTTCCCATTGCAAAAGCAGAAGAGAGAATCCTTAGGAATGGGAGATGATTCAATGCAGAGAGCCCTGGCATGGCTTCAAGATGTTGTTCAAGGTAAAATAGGCCACGGATTGGATACCAGAGTCCTCGAAGGACTACGCGTCGTCCATGCCGGAAAGGGATTTATCCTATTCGATTTAGTTGTTCCTAACGGTGTTTCGGTACGAAATCTCTTCGTTGCATTATGAAAATTGTTCCGACTGCACAATAATATTCGATTTTATTCTTGAAGGATGTTGACGGAAATTGGCATGTTGGAGCTCTAGCATCGTTACTCGACCTCCTCGGAGGTGTTACTATCTTCTCGTTTGCGAATAGTGTGATTAGCTCCGTCGATTTCAACGTCTCATATTATTCAACAGCTAAGATTCAAGTTAAGAATTTCCTTTTTATGTGTGTGTTTTGATAAATTTGAAGGTGTTTGATTGATGTTTGTTAATCTTATGACTGCATAGGAACATGTGGAGATAGAATCAAAGGTTACTGCAAACAAAGGAAAGCTTATACATGTGGTGGTTGAAGTTAAAAGGAAAGGAAATGGAGAAGTGATTGCTGTAGGAAAACAATGGATGGCTTTGAATAAACTCACTGTTTCTCAAGTGAGTAATATCGGACAACGTAAATCGTGTTCGAAATGAAATTTCTTATCGTCCCTTGGACATTTGTTTAACATGTACTTTCGAATCCGAACTTTGTTCAAATAAAATCTGCCATTGTTATGAAATTTTCTGAAGAACCGATTCGAATTCGAGTGAAAATTGCCTAAAAATTCCGATAGTACAGTACAATAATGCACAAAAATCCACAGGACATGGCCCTCTGCAAGAGGATGCAAGTAAAGCATGCCTCATTCATCCATAATGAGTAGTTGGTGACAACATCATCACCATTAAAACATTCGTACCGTTTGCACCTATAGACGGCTACTGCAGTTACTGAGTTCCTGGACCACTTCTTCCATGGAAGGTCTTTCGATGGGAGAGTTGTGGGTGCAAAGCCAGGCGAGTCTAGCTACTTTAGTCGCTTCGTACTCGAAGAACCTACCGTGGAGGTTGGGGTCAATGAAGTCTTGGAACCTGCAACAGGATTCGGCTCCCAAATGCACCAAGTTGGTTATTTTTTGTTTCCCGGAAAGGACTTGGAAAACAACCACCCCGAATGCATAGTCATTAGCATATCCGGGAGCTAGGTAACCCATGGCTGCACTGGCCTTGAGTGCTCCGAAGACGATGTCGATGGTCAGGATGTTGTGCAAGCCGGAATCTGAAAGCAGCGGATTGAACCGGTGATCGATGAGCACATTCTTGGCCGAAATATTTTGGTGAACGAGGGCCGGTTTGTTCACCTTGTACTGATGTATGTATGCTATCCCTATTCAAAAACAAAGACAATCAAACAAATCTAGCTTAGCAAATAGGAAACACACTCTAACCATGCAATAGATTAAGGCCAAAAACTGGAGACCAACCTTTGGCTATGCCTTTAACAATGGAAACCCTTGTGGACCAATCCAGGACCATGCCATCACCATCCTTCAGGTCGAGATAGGCAAGCAAATTCCCGTTGGGAACGAAATCATAAACAAGAAAGCACTCTCCTCGGGCCTTCGAGCAACAAAAGCCTCTCAACCGGACCTAATTATCATGCTTCAGTGATGCCAAAACATTCAATCCCTTCAAGAACTCTGCCTCATCCGATCTGCAACTCGTTTTGCTTATACTTTTAATCACAGCAGCAGATCCATCCCTCAAGAACCCTTTATAGGCCGCGTAAAAGTTACTCTTCTCCATTAAATTTACCTCGGAAAAGTACTAAGTAGCGGTCTCCACCTCTTCTAAATTGAACCTAAAACTCTTAAGGACATCTTGGGTGAAGCCACTGAAATTCCTGCCATCCAAAGGATCCCAACCATTATTTATTGTACTTTTTGAAATATGTTTGTGTTGGTTTCGTTTTGATTGAATTACTTCATTTTGTATTGTTGTTGATTGCGGATCACCGTGTCTGTCTAGTGCTCTATCATTCCTGTGTGTATATGCTTCTTTTTTTGTGTGTGCATTATGTTGGAGTACTGATTCAACTCATTGGTTTGCAGTGAATCTACAACTGCCAGCACTCTTGTTGCATAGATTTGGCATGTAGGTAGTGCAATTTGGGGCATCCTCGTGATTCAATGTTATTGCTCCGAGCTCGTTAGATTGTGTTTTCCTTTTCCGCGAAGATGTGTTTTGATGTAAGACTATTAATAGATGTTAAAAGATTTTGTTGACTGAAAAGAGAGTTAAGGACTCATTTTTTTGTTCAATTCTACTTCATATTTAAAGTTCAACCGGATTTGACGATAACATTTTGCCTACTACGTCATTTGATGAGGGATGAATCAGAGTGTAAGTGCTAGAGTTTAAGTCAGGATTCAGGAATTCATTTGAAGAACACTTATTACAAATCGATAATCCGGAAGATGGTTCTTGATTTTAAGTTAGTAATCAGCAGAGGGGCTGAAGACCACGAGTGATCGAAGGTGGATGTTGGAAGTCTCGACTTCCAAGTCCCGCCCCTCATCTCTTGTGACAAGCCGATGTTGAACGGTGTTTTCATGGGAGGCCACCGCATTGTGGAGCAAGTGCTACATCAACGACCAAATGCTACATTCCCGCGGCAACACTAAAGAAAAACCCTAGTAAAACCCACATCAAACATTCAAGTAAACAAGTAGAGATAACTGGCGGTAGGGCTTAGACAATTCACGGGGAGAGCCAGTTCTTGATACAGATAACGGCGAGGACCTCGTTCATGTCCAACCTTTCGTATCCGTTGCACTCGAAAATCGTGCCCCGGAATCCCCATGCACTCTCTGCATTACCCACAGGTACCTTCAAATCTACCTGCGAATTCTTGTGAACATCGTCATTTCAATTGCATTTTAGACCGATAATTTATCGTTTCATTTTTTTGGTAGCAAGTGTTTTGGCTGAGTGACTTGGACGGAGCAAGGGGCTACGACGTTGATTTCTTGTCTCTGTCGCTGCACGCTGTTTCAAGGGACCTCGAGACCTACCCTTCTCCCTGCATTTACGCTCAGGTTTTCTTATGCTTTTCTTTCTCGAGGTTCTTGTCTGCCCAGAAAACTAACTCCTTTTGCTATCCTCAGGTTCTTCGAATTTTACGATGATTGTAGTTGTTAATAAATCACGCTTATGCATTCAGTAGCTTGACTTTTTTTTTGTCTCTTTGGCAGCTTGCTTGCAAGTAAAATTTGGTTGATTACTGAGTAGAGAAGGAAAATAGAACTTATTATGGTTTGGTGATACTTGCTACCTGGCTGATGAACCAAGCAGTATTGTTTTAAGAAAAAAAAAATCCGATCTCATTAAGCTTTTTAAAAATATGGGTTGAATCAGAGTTAAACAATAAAGAAGGCTCTAAACTCTGCTTATAATTTAAAATGCAGTGTTATGACTTCTCTGTGTATTTTCAATGGCGATATTCAATGCTTCTGCTTCCCGTTAAGTGCGTGTAGTACGTGTTTTTCTCATTTACTAAGTGAGCTTCCTTTTTCTTTTTAGTTGCAGATGTCATGGTTTTTTTGTCCTTCATTCGCATTCTCTTTTCCTCCCTTTATACATTGTCTGATCAGTGTTGTTTTGTCTGAAGATTGAAACTGAAGATGATGAAGTGGAAGATGAGTCTGAGGAATCGGATTCAGAGTGCTATGAGGTTTTAGATTTATCCAAGATCAGAGAGATGAGGCTTATTCCTTCAGATACCAGCCAATGTGTGTATGATTCAGTATTTTCCTCCACTAGTTCTTATATTGTTGTGTCTCTAGAGACAATGAATGCTGACTTTTATACGTATCTATTTGTTCTGGAAAAGTGGATACTCTGTTTCATGTATTCAGCGAGTGTGCTGAGCTAAATCCGGAGCCTATCGAAGGTGAGTTCCAGCTATAAATTGGAAATCTTTTTTCTGTTGTATGGGTGTTTTTCTTCCGCGGAATGAGTGGCGATTTACTGTTTTTGTTTATGCTTTATTTAGAAGGAGAAGAAGAACATGATTGGATTTTTAGTGCTGATCAGTTGCAAGATGAAGCTGGAGGTATGGGATAGACAACATGGATACGTTCTTGAATTCCTCTGTGTTTATATGCTTGCATTCCCTATAACCTCTAACTACGTATTGTATCTCCAGAGGGTGATGACTCGGAATGGCATTTCTCCGAGAGTCTGACAAACATAATCGGTCATTCTGATGGTTATCATGACCTGTCTCGGAATGTGCTTGAGGTGAGCTACTTACTGTTCATTCTACGTTTCCACAACAAATTTTACGTCTCCGATTAAACTCTTGCATACATTTCTACATTCCTTTCTTGTTTGCTTGAAGGGCTTGTTCCATTCATCCCATTTCTGCAAAAAATCACTTGCAGCTTCAAATCAATGATCAACGCTTTGAGGATGCGGTAGAGATGGAAGAAGTTACTGATAGAGGTAGGTAGTCATCGTCAGCCACAGTGTACTATTTGCTGGTCAATTCATAAGCAGGACATTCAAAGTAAGGCAAAGTTTGTTACCATGAGTTCTTGATTCTTAATGTTTCAACCTTTTAGATATCCTAGGAAAATGGCTATGGTGGTAGCTTCCGAGCGAAGCCAGATAGTGCAGCAGGGTAGTTGATCGGAATCGGCTACATGGATCAGTTGTGGCCAGGGAAGCAAAAAAAAAAGAGATAGGGTTCTGGTAAAACAAAGTTTAGTTTACCATAATTCTAGAATTGGAATTTTCTCATTATCATTGATGATTTTTCATTGTTTTGTGGAAAAATAAACACTGAACTTTCAAACCGTTTTAATTCAAAACATAATTAAGGAGATGTTTGTTTGCCTCTTAATGGAACCATTCAGCGTTGAATGTTGAACCGTTCAGCATTCAGTGCGTTTGTTTCGTACCTCTGAATGATTCAATGCTGACTGATTCAGCAAAACAGTACTGATTGATTCAGCAAAACAGTGCTGACTGATTCAACAAAACAGTGCTGAATGATTCAGCACAGAAGTACATTCTGAATCATTCAGAGCCAAATATCAAACAACATGTCACATTTAGAGCCAAATGATTCAGAGCCTCTGAATCATTCAGCATTTGAATCATTCAACGCTTAATCATTCTGAAGTAAACAAACAACTCATAAGTGTTTATTTGACCAGTAATAAAAGTACCGTTTTAATTCGGTTAACCAACCGAAATAACCAAACTTTGTTCGGTTCGATTAATGATAATTCGGTTCGGTCGGTGGCCGAATTAACCGTTTGAACATCCCTACAAGTAGATATAAAGAAACTATAGAGGGACAGAATTATGTGAATTGATTTCTAAATTTGGACCTAGTTGAGGGACCAAAGCCAGATTTTGACATTATTTTAATAATAAATTTATTGCTTGGGAACTGGGAATTGCTATATAAAGTCCATTTCCTCTCATTTTTGTATTTCAAACAGGTTACCAAATAATGTCTACCTTCTGCGATAAGGATGCTGTTCTTGTCGGTGATGGCTTGTTGTGGCAGCACGATGGACTCACCGCTTCCACCATCACCGAAGTGACAGCCACTGTTATAGTGGCGACGTTGGTAATCATCTGTTTCTCACGGTGGGCCAAGAAATTCATCATCAAAATCGAACCGCCACAACCCCCAGGTCCCCCTGGCTTGCCTATAATCGGAAACCTACCGTTCATCAAACCCGATTTCCTTCAGTACGTCACCAAACAATCTCAAATCTACGGCCCCATCATCAAGCTTCACATGGGAAGCAAAATTTACGTAGTCATAAGCTCACCTTCAATCGCCAAAGAGATCCTCAAAACCCACGACGCCGCCTTTGCCAACCGCGACATTCCGGTGGCAGCCATAAACGGATCCTACGGTGGACTCGACATTGTGTGGAGATCCAACGGACCCGAACTTCACAAGCTGCGTAAGCTCGTGGTTCACGAAATTATGTGCAACAAAGGGCTCGACGCTTGCTACGAGCTCCGTCGGCGCAATATTAGACAGATGGTGAAGTACATACATGGGAAAATCGGGTCCTCCATCAACCTTAGTGAGCAGATGTTCTTGACCACGATGAGTGTCACAATTAGCATGCTCTGGGGTGATTCGTTGAACGAAGAAGAGGCAAAGCGTGTGGTTGAATTCAAAGAACGATTAGAGGAATTTGTGGGATTAATCGGAGCACCAAACGTTTCTGATATCTTCCCGGTTCTCAGGCCATTGGATTTACAGGGGATTGAATCCAAAACCAAGAAGCTTTTGTCGTGGTTTTATGAGTTTTTAGAGTCCGTAATAGAACAGAGAACGAAGGTCGGAGAAGCAGAACAACAGGAGGAAAGCAAAGATTTTCTGCAACAATTGTTGGAGCTGAACCAAAGAGGAGATGCCAAAGCCTCGTTGTCCATGACGGAAATCAAAGCATTGCTGCTGGTAATGTATTTTTACCATAATTTTTACCATTCAATTTACATACGTAATTTGACACCCTATGTTATCATTATTTAGTCCAAATTAATCATCATACTAATTAAAATATTAATTTCATTTCATTTTTCAAAGCATCCATTCTAATATGAAAATATTTATGTTACTCTGACTGCTGGAATGAGTGTTTTTAATTAAAAAAATCCATGTTGACATTTTAGCCTGAAGAATTAAGTATACTAATTGTTTGGACTAAATAACAACGTAGAGAACCAAATTGTATTTAATTAAAGCCTAAAGAACACAAATGATCCCCTTAGGATAATGTTTTATTGAGTTAATTGATTATTAAAAGTTATGAAATGATCCCTTGACTATAGGGTGTTGCTTTGTTGAGTCCATCGACTATTAAAAGTTATAAAATTGTCATTTGACAATTCATTATGTTCAAACTCGTTATTTCCCGTTAAAAATTTAACGACTGTCTGAGTTGGACGATAACATTTTGACTATAGTCATTTGAGATTCTGAGATCATATTTTATCATATTTCAATCAGCAGGTTAATGTATAACTCATATTGTCGTCAAAATTTCAAAAAAAAGGAAAAATGATGAGTTTGTAATATAATTAATAGTCGAATGACCATTTGTGTAACTTTTAATAGTCAATGAATTCAATAAAGCATTATCCTATAATTACGGGACCATTTGTGTTCTTTACCCCTAATTAAATTATAAAGATCATAATTAAAGCACGAATCAAGTGACCTTAGAATTTAAGAGATTTTGTTATTTTTTGAAGTTTTAAGGTTGAACATTGCATACGTAATAATATGAATATTTATTGTCAAATCATTGAGAGTATTTAAACAAATATTAACTTATATTTAAATTGTTGAGAGAAAATTTAATATTATTTCGATGAGATATTTTTGCAATTCAAATAATCAACTTATAATTTTTTAAATATTTTAAAATAAATAAAATTTTAGTCGATGCTCAATAAAATGTCGGCTGAATTTAGACCATACTATTTCATTATTATTATTATTATTATTATTATTATATAGTATTTATTTATTTTACTACTTAAATTAATTTAGACATAATCTACAAATAATGTTATTTGGTTTCGAGTTAATGAGATGAACATATTATTTTGTATTAACTTGAACTGTGTTACCTAATTGGGTTAAAAGTTTAGTTACTTATATTAGGGTAAAGTACGATCTCAACTATAAAATATTATTTTATTAAATTTCTTTACTATTAAAAGTTATAAAATGATTCTTTGACTATATAATGTTACTTTGTAAAGTCACCGACTATTAAAAGTTATAAAATGGTCACTTGACTATTTTTTATGTTTCGAATACATCCTTTTTTGGTTAAAAAATTAACGGTTGTCTAAGTTGGACGTTAACATTGATGGTTGAGATATGATAGTCGTTTGAGATTTTAAGATAATATTTTATCGTATCACAATCAGTAGATTAACGTTCCTCATAATATCGTCAATTTTTTAATGAAAGAGGAGAGTTTGGCACATAATTAATAGTCGGGTGACCATTTTGTAACTTTTAATAGTCAATGCACTCAACAAAGCAACATTCTATAGTTGAAAGATCATTTTATAACTTTTAGTAGTTGAGGGAGTTAATAAAGTAGTACCCTATAGTTGAGGGACCATTTGTGTACTTTTTCCTTAATATTAGAAATCTCATGGTTTTAATTTTAAACATTTGCGTTATCCCGTCTCTATTTGCTGGTATAGGATATGATAATCGGTGGTACGGACACAACATTTACAACAATGGAGTGGGCAATGACGGAATTACTACGGCACCCGGATAAACTGAAAAGAATAGCCGACGAATTAGATGCAGTGGTCGGCGACCATAACGTCGTCGAAGAAACTCATCTCCCTCGGCTGCTCTACCTGGAAGCGGTGGTGAAAGAAACATTCCGGACCCACCCACCGGCGCCGTTGCTACTGCCGCACATGGCCGGCGAAACCACCGTCGTAGCAGGTTACACCATCCCCAAACACTCCAATGTTTTCTTCAACGTGTGGGCAATACAAAGGGACCCCGAGCTCTGGGAAAATCCCCTCCGATTCGAGCCGGAGAGATTCATGAGAGAATCGGAGAAAAGGAATTATCTGGGGAACAGTTTCCATCTCTTCCCCTTCGGATCGGGGAGGAGAATCTGCGTCGGGATTCCTCTAGCTGAAAAACTGATAATGCATATTCTGGCGACGCTCGTGCATTCCTTTGAATTGGTGATGCCGGACGGGAAGAAACCGGACATCAAAGACAAGCTCGCGTTGATCTTGTCGAAGGTGGAACCACTCTCCGTGGTTCCGATTGCACGTTTATCCAACTCACAACAATACGAATAAGTAGTTAGTTAGTCCCTTGACTCTCCTTTTATTAATAAATTAGACCCCAATAAATATATGTATCTTAAATTCAGAATTTCAAAAGGCAATCAGGTTTAATTCTAGAGTAAAGTACATGTTTCTAAATTACTATCAAATTATGGTTTTGATCATTGAATTTTAAAATTGAATTTAGGGTAAACTACGTATTTAGTACCTAAATTATCAGTTTTAGTTCATTTTAATACCTAAACTACTTTCGAATATATACTACTTTGGGAGATTAAGACATAAAAGTTATTTATAGGGAAACTATTTACTTGGGGACAACTAGGGGTGTTCAAATAACCGAACTAATTCGGTTAACCGACCGAACCGAATTAGTTCGGTCGGTTAACAGTTAAAAAAAATTTTAGAATTCGGTTAACGGTTAATTCGGTTCGAATTCGGTTAATTAACCGAATTAACCGAAATTAAATTTTAAATATTAAATATATTATATATAACATATGGGCTCAACCCAAATCATTTAAAACTCAATTAATAATTTAAGATCCAATAACTTTTAAACTTAAATCAATATTAATTAATTAAAAAATTATATAATTTTTTTATTTTATAATTATATATTATTTAAATTAATTGTAAACTGTTTTTTAATTAAAAAATATTAAATATATATATAAAATGGGCTAAGCCCAAACCATTTAAAACCCAATTAATAATTTAAGATCCAATAACTTTAAACTTAAATCAATATTAATTAATTAAAAAATTTATCTAAAATTTTTATTTTATAATTATATTATTTAAATTAATTA